GTTCGATCCCCGGCTGAGACAAACATCGATGTGATGAGCATTTGGTGTTGTGCTTAGGTCTTGGGTGTTAAAAATTTTTTTTATTTTCTTTCCCCCCTAAATTTGGTTGGTAATCCCGGTCCCTGCCCCCCCCACAAAAACTCCCCCCCCTTGGGGGGGGGGGGGGGGGGTGGGGGGGGTTGGAAAAAAAAAAAAAAAAAATAAAAAATTATTTTTTTTTTTTTTTTTTTGGGGGGGTGTTTAAAAAAAAAAAATTTTTTTCCCCAGATGCTATAACACCACTGCATTCAAGTATTACGTAAACAGATTTACTGCAATTGATCCCCCCCTAAAAGTCAGCAAAAGTAAGCAAAGCTCTCAAAAAGTATTAATTATATGTAGTAATCCTCGAAAATGCATTTCGTTTTCAAGCATAGACAATGTGTAAAACTGTTAATAATTACCGTTGACGTAATCACCAAATAAGAAAATCTAGTGCTTACGTAATACTTGAACGGCCCCTAAGCTGTTGCTGGAGACTATTAGTGAACGTATACGGTTTTTGCAAGTGGTTAAAGAAAGGGCCTGAAGGAGGAAAAGCGTTGTTGAAGAAGAGAAATTTTAAAAGACAAAAAAAGACTCTCATCGTAGGTTCGAACGGCGATGCACCAATACTTTCTGTGTGCGCAACTAACGCTTTTAATATCTAAATATATAAAACAAAGTCGTGTTAGTTACACGACTTATAACTCAAGATCGGCTGGACCGATGTTAGTTATCTCTTTTTTGGTGGATTCTTCTCCGCTCCGAATAGCAGAATAAGTAATAAAATATCGGATAAGTTATCGCATAACAATAAATTTAAATTAATTTTACGAATGCAAACAGCATGTGGTGCCATCTGTTGACAAAACTACGCATCATTTTACATTGAATTCGTGTCAGTTCAAGAAATTCCGATGAGGTGAATGAGGAGATGCATAGCCAGGCTTTCATCTTGATCGAAGACATGTGTTAACCTCATCAAAAATTTTTGTATATCAAAAATGCTTTAACATGCAGTATCGCAATATCGGCGCTAGAGAGAAGAGGCCTAATGTGTAAAACTGCCATTTTTCTTTCGCAATGGCCAGCAATAAAACATTTCTGTATTTGCAAAAAAAGTATTAATGTTAACCATAATGAAATCCTAAAATAAGTTTAACCAAAGTTAACACGATATTATTAGACTGTAAAGAGGAACGAAGTTCGCCGGGTCAGCTAGTTATATATTATATTATATTATTAAGTAACTTTTAATAAACTGGCTGGCTAATGTTTAGGCCATCCGCACGATAGAGTGGCAGAAATAAAAAAGAAACATCTGAAATAAAAAATATTTCATAAAAAACATTCTTTCACCGCTAGAATTATAACATTTTCAAAAAAAAATAGGGATCGGGAAATTAGAGAATTATCACCGTATAAATTCAAAGCTCTCGTTGAACGTAAATTAATCAATAAAGCTTTTTATAAGTTTGACGATTAAAATGATTGAATTGCTCCATTTCAAACAATTTGTATGACTTAAAACTTGGCGATTTAAAAGAGTGGCGGAAAGTTACCTTGACTTGCGAGCTTGGAGTAAATGTAAATTTACAATTAATTTAACTTCTTTTGGACGTTCATAAGTGTATTTGTTTACCTATATGAATATTTTGAGTTTGAGACTTGTCAATAACATACACTGAAGCGTCATCAAATCATTCAATTTGGAGAAAATCCATTAAAACATGTCACACAAAATCCACAAACACAATCCATAAAGGAAAATGTACTAAATACTCAATGGTCTAGACTCTACGAATATGATTTTGTCCCATTAGGTGTCGAGACCCTTGGACCGTGGGGTCCAAACGCTATAAGGCTTTTTGAGGAATAGCAAAAAGGTTAGTCGACATCACAGGAGACCGAAGAACTGGCAGCTACCTCGGACAAAGAATCAGCTATTCAAAGAGGGAACGCTGCCAGTATCTTCGGAACCTAAAGGGACTCCTTTTAATAATATATTTTAGTTATTATATTATATTTTTTAAGTATTACTTTTATATTCTGTAATTTGGTTGTTCAATTTCATATATATAATCAATAATGCCTGGAAACATCAGAATATGTGTTGGCACGCTATCAATTTTAAGTTTCCAATGTTACCACGTGACAAATCACGTGAGGCCCTTTTATTTGTAATTTTACAGTAGTTTAGTACTTAACCAAGTCAACGTCTCAACATAAATAGAAAAGTCCATTGTTGCCCAGCCGTGATTCAAACCTACGACCTCAGGGTTGAGAGGTCAGCCTAAACTGCTCTGGAGTAGAGAATTAAACATATTTACTACTATAAACTTGTACTACACTGAGAATTTTCCTACGAGCAGTGGCCTAGTGGGAGGACGTAAATTTATCCCCTGAAGTACACCAATGGACTTTTCTCACTCGTACGGTTAAAAACATTCATGCCTTAGGCCCAACGTCATGTCAGACACAGGAGACCGAGCCCCTTTTATCCTTATAAGTGTAGTTGTAGCACCACTGGTTTGTTTTATCTTCACCGCATATGACATCCGATTCGAATTTATCATTAAAATTGATACAAATTTGTTAAAGCGTTAACATAGATTTAACGTGTTAAGTATAATCATTACATTTGTAAATACATCGTATTACCAAATTTAATTGTATTACCAATTTTATTGTATTACCAATTCAATTGTATTACCAAATTTAATTGTATTACCAATTCAATTGTATTACCAAATTTAATTGTATTACCAATTCAATTGTATTACCAAATTTAATTATATTACCAATTCAATTGTATTACCAATTCAATTGTATTACCAACAACAAATAAAATAACCCACTTACGATCATCATCATCATCATCAAGTAATTCCGTATCACCAAAGTCATCATCATCGCTCAACGGTTTCTCAACTTTGACGGTTACAGTTTTGACTTCCTTCTCAGGTTCCACTGGAACTAAAAATATAGCTTTATTAATATGTTTATAAACGATGTTGCCAATTTGTGATCAACTTTAGAAGACATTCATTTATATTCATTACAATAAGGGAAAACTTTTCCAGCCGTCTTACAGGTTGCAGAAAATAAATACTTCATTTATGGGCCTAAGTATACGCTGCTATAACATGATTCCTAGTGAAATATTGGAACAGCCTTTTAACAGATTCAAAACACTTATCAAAAAAACCTTAATGTGTAAAGGTTACTACACAGTCAATGACTACCTGGAAGATAAAAACGCTTGGCAATAGTTGTAATTATATTCTTATAATTTGATTTGTGTGTAATGGTGAATGTGGTAAATCACAGAACAGATTTTTATATATTTTTTTTACTTATGTAACTTTAATGACGTTGTGGTTTATGACATTTTCCTTTGGATAATTGTAATGTAGAGGGAGGGTACAACTTGCTGAATTTCTTGCCCGTTCTTCTCAGAACAAGGCCTCCTGGTAGTTTTGCGAACAGATGGCGTAGTCTTGCTCTTTCGCGAATTTTGTAAACGTTTTTGACATTCATAAGCATGCGCTAAGACGCGTAACGTATTCTGATTTGACTTGATTTGAAGGTCTACGATTTTATACCGTTGTTTTATCTATTAGCCAGCGAACCCCTAATTCCCTACTTTTGTTCTAGGTACATGGTCTTCACATATAATTATGAAATCAATGTATAGAAAATATTGTTAAAACTATTTTAAAAGAGAAGTTTCTTGCCCATTCTTCTCCATTTGACCTTTTAGAAGGGGCAAATGAGTCATTGTTTTTTTTTTTAATTTTTATCTTGTAAATGACTATCAAAAGTGCCTTTTTAATAGGCCTAATTGAAAAAATGATTTGACTTCCAAACGTAGGTAAAAGTGCGCTTACACGGGCAACTAAAATTGCTCAACTTTAGTCAATACTCGTCAACTATGACGTCACGACTACATCAAGCAATTTACGGCAACGGCAACAAGCATCAATACTGCGCAATACAATATTGAGCGATATGGCGCAACTTCATCAACTAGGCAATACTGTCCTACACGAGCATTTCAGTATTCGCTCGCTATGGACGACATTATTCTTGCTGCGGCGGCTTGTAGCGCTTTTTTTATCATTAATCAAAAACAAAAAAGAAAGAAAAGGAATAGGCGTATCTGGATGCGATCGTTTTTGGCCGCAATTTTCATTGTGTAAAGAATTAGATGATATATTATTCAAAAACTTTACTAGAATGTCACTTTGAATTACTTTTGAATAAAGTAATTAGAAATTATTATTATTTAGACCTCTCGCTCTCCCCGCGGAAGCAAGACGGCAAGCCGCAAAACAAACAAGTGCGAAAAAGATATATACAAAAATTTCTAGGAATTTCCAAGTCCATTGGATATTCGTCAATTCGTATCTGCGACATTGAGCGATATGAAATATCTGGAGCAATTAGAAGCAATATCGCCAAAATAATTTATTGAAATTTATTGAAATTGCTCCATTAATTGCTCCATATCGGTCCATTCGTGTCGCCAAGCAATTATTGCCCTCGTGAAAGCGTACCTTGTTATCTTCAAAGCTAACAGAGCTAACAATAAAGTACTCAGCTATAAAATACGAAAAAGAAATCAAGTTTATACACAAACTAATATTAAAAGTTTCACATAAGTTAAGTTCGGAGGCAGTTGCTCGAGATATGTTCAGATACCCAAAAAACAAAAACTAAAAATTTCTACTTATTTACAAATATTCTTATTTTTAACTTTTAATTTAATTTATTATACACACGATTTTCATTACTCACACTTCTAACTTTAATATTATTATTTTCTACTTGGTATTATTATTATTTTATTTTATTAGAGGTGCAAACTAGCTGCTGTGGTCTCTGGCAGAATGACCAGTGCTGTGGAACTTTTTGCTCCTCAGCATAATGCTGAGCCAGGGCCAATTACAACCACAGTACACACACATTGCACACTGGAAGCGAACCGAATGGCAAAAGAGAATTTTTAATTTTAATTTTTAAATTTTATTGTTTTTGATGTCTTATTTTATTTTTTTTCTTTAAGTATTGTTATTTTGTGTGTTTATGTGTGTGTGTGTTTTCGTTTGTAATAAATGTTATGTCTCTGGGGGCCTCATAGCCTAGCGGTCTTATTAAGTGGCAGCTAGGTGAGGGGTACCGGGTTCGATTCCCGGTTCGAGGGCAAGTTTTAATTTAATTCAAATTTGTTCTCGGCCTTTGGGAGGGTTGTGCGTTACCGGGCGAGTGCTTAAACCGTACATAAAGGGCACTTATTCTTAAAAACCAATTATAAAAAGTCCTATACTTGACGCTGGCTAATGAACACGTGCCAAGCCTAAAAAAAAATGTTATGTCTATGTCTATATATGTTAAACTAGCTGGCCTGGCGAACATCGTACCGCCTAACAGTAGATTTTTTCTACTATCTCTATTGGGGACACCAGTCTAGCTAGTAAGATAAAAAAAAGAAAATTGATAAGACAACAAATACATTATGTCAAAAAATAAAAATTTACCTTCCCGGAACCCTCCACTACACTTGAACTTTATGATATGGTATTAAAGTTCAAATTGACTTTTAAGTATTATTCACGAATATTTTGTATGGGAATATAGAAAAGTGTTGTTTTTAGACTTTTTCACTCAATTTTTTTAATTTTTCTCTCCGTAAGAACCATCCTCGTACTTCAAGGAATATTATAAAAAAAATCAGACAAATCGGTCAAGCCGTTTTCATGTTATGTCGTGACAACGGAAAACGGGTGTCATTTTTATATATTACTAGCTGACCGGGCAAACGTCGTTTTGCCATATATATCATTTATAATAAAAAAATAGGGGTTGATCGAAGAGGGGTGAAAGTTAGGGGTTTGTATGTATTTTTTAATGCTGTATCATAAAAAAAAAAAACAGAAAAAAATATCTAAAAATAAAAAATAAAAATTTAGGGGTGGACTACCCTTAACATTTAGGGGGATGAAAAATAGATGTTGTCCGATTCTCAGACATACCCAATATGCACACAAAATTTCATGAGAATCGGTCCAGCCGTTTTGGAGGAGTATGGCAACGAAAACTGTGACACGAGAATTTTATATATTAGATATAGATAGATGAAACACTTTGTTTGAAGCTCTGTAACAACTGGCTTTAATGATTTAAAATATGAGCTTATAACTAAGATAACATTAGGGGTTCCGATGCTGGATTAACAAAAAATTAACTAGACTAAGGGTCTGTTTCACAATGTACGGATAAGTTCTACATAAGTTCAAAATTAGCTATTAATTACTTAGGTAGCGTTCTAGTATCACGTGACGTATTTTGGGAGGGGGGAGGGTGTCCTTTTGTAAAACGTTACGATGCGGGGCGGGGATTAAATTACGCGTTACTGTTAATATTTTTTTCGACTTACACCACATAATAGTAACTAAAGAGTCACTAGGTGGTCACGAAACGTTTTACTGTACTTGGGTACTGAAAAACGTTACGACGAGTTCATGGGGGGGGTTCAATAATCTCCAAAAATTGCGTAACAACGGTCCCTTATTGGTAGGAGAAACACTTTTGTTGCGTTTCACGACTGTCAGATAGCGCTGTTCGTCACATAGCCCATCATAAGTTATGAGTCCGATGAATGTCAAATAACACAATTTATCTTTCAAATAATTTGTGTTGCATAGCTATTTGGTACTTTATCCATACATTGTGAACCCTTATTGCAAAGTTCGCAAATCTAAACGACACTTATGTTATTGGACATTATCGGAAAGAAGAATGTTGAATTACAATTTATGAGTGTGGGAAAAACGTCTCATTTTGGCTTCAAGTAATTTATTTGGCTCCTAATTATTAACTAAAATATATATTTGTTCAGTGTTGGCCTAGTGGCATCAGCGTGCGACTCTCATCCCAGAGGTCGTAGGTTCGATCCCCAGCTGTGCACCAATCAATTTTTTTCTATGTGCGCATTTACCATTCGCTCGAACGGTGAAGGAAAACATCGTGAGGAAACCGACATGTCTTAGACACAAAAAGTCGTGTGTCAGGCACTTGAGGCTGATCACCTACTTGCCTATTAGATTGTAAAACGATCATGAAACAGATTCGGAAATCTGAGGCCCAGACCTAAAGAGGTTGTAGCGCCACAGTGTTAGGTTACATAACTCGTGCGTTTTCAACAATTTGTATGACAAAACTTGGCGATTAAAAAAAGTGGCGGAGAGTTTCTTGCCCGCTCTACGCCCTTTGATTTGCGAACTGGTAGTAAGTATATGCATTTTTAAGTATTTAATAAATTAGCAGAGCTTAAAACTAAAGAACTTTCCACTGCTCCGGTCCGGCGTCGGATACCGGAATGAGTCATGAGAAAAATATCGGAAGGCCGGATTGCGCTTCTCCACTATATCCGATCCGACAATAATCGATACTTGTATATTTATCATGCTACACTTATATTAACTAAAACCCATATACTTTATTTTATTAATAAAACGTTCTAAATTCTGAATATTTTATTGCCCTGGCAAATTTATTACTTTTTTTATATTGTCTATCTTAAAATATTATAATCTACTGAATAAATAGTTCACTAATACTATGGTATAAACATATAAATAAATAGCAACATAATGTGATTTGGTCCAGGTTATCCAGATTCTTTCAAATTAAACAAACTATAAAAATAAACCTGTGAATAATAATTTATAACCTCTTGAATACTTGGATATACTTGGACCGATAAAACACCGCGTTCCGATCTAGCAAGTTATCGGATCGTTAAAAACCGGATGCCGGAGTAGTGGACAAGTACGTAAGTACTGTTGTGAGTTTCTAAATTGGATCGGTAATTAACGTTCGCCGGACCGGAGCAGTGGAGAAACGGCCTAACAGTCTATCGTCATCCAACGAATTCAATTTCAATATCTTTTCACGCTTCAAATACCGTCAAAAATGAAATATTGAAATTGTATAAATGTTACCACGGAACTGCTATTATGATTCCTTTGCTAATAGCAATAAAGACTATTTTAAAGTGAAACCAATAGTTTTATTAACATTTTCTTATACATAACATATCGGGAAATCATATTAGTCGGGTTATATTAACTACTAGCGGACCCGACAGACATTGTCCTGCATATTTCAAGCGATTAGGATATTAAACAAAGTTTAAAATTACCGATTGCAACGACATCTGACGGGCTGATTTTGACTGAATAGGTCCAGCCGTTTAAGAGTGACCAGACACAAGTACAGTAGAATTATACATACATGTAAAACTAACCTATCTTTTAAGTTAGATCCCCCCCGATCACAACTGCACACGGTGTGCAAATTTTATTGAAATCGGTTAAGTAGTTTAGGAGTCCATAGGGGACAAACAACGTGACACGTAATTTATATATGTCACCGTAAAATTGTAAACACCGTTAGATTGTAATCTATCTCGCGAGATTATAAACTGTCGAAAGATTGTGAACCTCAACGAACTGCTTACAATTTACACACGACTTTTTGTGTCAGGCACTTGAGGCTGATCACCTACTTACATATTAGATTGTAAAACGATCATGAAACAGATTCGGAAATCTGAGGCCCAGACCTAAAGAGGTTGTAGCGCCACAGTGTTAGGTTACATAACTCGTGCGTTTTCAACAATTTGTATGACAAAACTTGGCGATTAAAAAAAGTGGCGGAGAGTTTCTTGCCCGCTCTACGCCCTTGATTTGCGAACTGGTAGTAAGTATATGCATTTTTAAGTATTTAATAAATTAGCAGAGCTTAAAACTAAAGAACTTTCCACTGCTCCGGTCCGGCGTCGGATACCGGAATGAGTCATGAGAAAAATATCGGAAGGCCGGATTGCGCTTCTCCACTATATCCGATCCGACAATAATCGATACTTGTATATTTATCATGCAACATTTATATTAACTAAAACCCATATACTTTATTTTATTAATAAAACGTTCTAAATTCTGAATATTTTATTGCCCTGGCAAGTTTATTACTTTTTTTATATTGTCTATCTTAAAATATTATAATCTACTGAATAAATAGTTCACTAATACTATGGTATAAACATATAAATAGCAACATAATGTGATTTGGTCCAGGTTATCCAGATTCTTTCAAATTAAACAAACTATAAATAAACCTGTGAATAATAATTTATAACCTCTTGAATACTTGGATATACTTGGACCGATAAAACACCGCGTTCCGATCTAGCAAGTTATCGGATCGTTAAAAACCGGATGCCGGAGTAGTGGAGAAGCACGTAAGTACTGTTGTGAGTTTCTAAATTGGATCGGTAATTAACGTTCGCCGGACCGGAGCAGTGGAGAAACGGCCTAACAGTCTATCGTCATCCAACGAATTCAATTTCAATATCTTTTCACGCTTCAAATACCGTCAAAAATGAAATATTGAAATTGTATAAATGTTACCACGGAACTGCTATTATGATTCCTTTGCTAATAAAGGCAATAAAGACTATTTTAAAGTGAAACCAATAGTTTTATTAACATTTTCTTATACATAACATATCGGGAAATCATATTAGTCGGGTTATATTAACTACTAGCGGACCCGACAGACATTCTCCTGCATATTTCAAGCGATTAGGATATTAAACAAAGTTTAAAATTACCGACTGCAACGACATCTGACGGGCTGATTTTGCTGAATAGGTCCAGCCGTTTAAGAGTGACAGACACAAGTACAGTAGAATTATACATACATGTAAAACTAACCTATCTTTTAAGTTAGATCACACGGCTCACACGGATCACAACTGCACACGGTGTGCAAATTTGATTGAAATCGGTTAAGTAGTTTAGGGAGTCCATAGGGGACAAACAACGTGACACGTAATTTATATATGTCACCGTAAAATTGTAAACACCGTTAGATTGTAATCTATCTCGCGAGATTATAAACTGTCGAAAGATTGTGAACCTCAACGAACTGCTTACAATTTAACGTATTATTATTCGGTAGTTATATGAAATTGTTGGAAAGTAAAATTAATCTGTAATTGACCAAAGAAGTTTGAATGATAACTAAGTTAGTGTAGTACAATCTATCAAATAATAATACGTTAAATTGTAAGCAGTAAGCTGAGGTTCACAATCTTTCGACAGTTTATAATCTCGCGAGATAGATTACAATCTAACGGTGTTTACAATTTTACGTTAACATATATATTAAAATATCAATCACTATGAACTTAAATTTATTTTTATAGATAGGCCAAAATTTAACTAAAACAATTACACAAAAGTGATTTTATAAACCAGAAACCATTTAGTATAAATTAATCTTTTCTATCTAAAGCCATAGTATATAACCGCAAATGCTACACAAATAGGTGCTCTTCAACAAAGTCAAGAACATGGGAATGGGAGCTTATCACTTGTTGTAAATAAAATGCAACACACAAACAATTTACGATCGTAACTTTTGTTTTAACTTCATTTAAGCCATTGGCATGTGTAAGTAGGATGCTTCTCTAGTGACACTCTTACTTAATACATGTATAATTTGAGATCTTATTTGGATATAAACTTATTCTGTAAGTAACAATCTAAAGAGCCCAAGTGGTAGTTAATAATTAATATGATAAATTAAATTCAAACAGTAATAAAAAAAGTTATAAGGAATGTTGTATCTGAAACAGAGTGCCTCGGATAGTACTTTTTTGTTACAGATGGCAAAAGGGCAGGAGGCTCACTGCTGCTGCTCGCATCGCGCTGCTCGTCTTTTTTTTTAGAATTGGTACACTCTTTTGTTGAAGGAGTCGAAGTAGTCATAAGTTAAATTGGTTTGGTAATCAGTGGGCAGCTGGTTCCACATGGTGGTGGTAAGCAGAAATTTCCTCAAGAAATTCTCAGTGTAAAGGTGGTTCTGTTTTGTCTATTTAAACATACTTTTGTGATACCTTGGTCATGTCGGACATGGGAGTATAAAAATTATGGAATAGAAGCAAAGATCAACCAAATCATTATTTGAATCATTTTTATGAATGCAAAAAGTCATTGGACACAATAGCAAAACAATCAAGACTTATTATAATAATCACTTACTTTCAATATCAACAGTTGTACTAGGGTTCAGGTATTCCATAAAAGTCTGTTCACATTCCTTAATCTGTCGCTTAAAGTCGGTGGCATCCCGTAGCCTGGAGATGCATGGTTCACATATCAAACGACTCTGACTGTTCGGCCCACCAGTCGGTGCATATTGAATCTGAAATAGTATTACCTGATAAACACTGTTTTTTACTTTATATGTTTAACTCAAGTTACATTAACTTTCCATTTGAAAAGGCACAAAAGGATTATGATAACTCCTTTGGTCATGGTTTTTTAAAAATAATTAGATGTTATCAAGATCAACACTATCATATTAAGTGTATTTTGTATAAATAACAAATATAAATAAAATGTCTATAGTGTAAAATGGCTTTAGAATTTTCTTTGCAGACAAGTATCTGTTCTAAAGCCAGCATGACATTCAAAGCTTAAAAATATACATAATCCCTAACAGTAAACATGGTTTATGACATGTAATGTCTGCATATTCATTGCAAACATTGTTGTTACTCAGAGAATGAAACCCAGGCTTAGACATAGACATAGACATAACATTTATTACAAACAAAAAAGGCTTAAAGGTGTAGAAGCTATCTATCTAAGTTATAAAATTCATGTGTTACTCCTTCTAAATGGCTCGACCAATTTACGTTAAATTTTGTCTGTTTTCATCCCCCTAAATGTTAAGGGTAGCCCCTAAATTTTTATTTTCATTTTTTAGACAAAACTTTTTATTTTTATTTGATACAGCATACATAACTACATACAACCCTTAATTTTCACCCCTCTACGATCAGCCAGTATTTTTATTATAGTAGATAGATATTTTTTTTGAACTAAAAAAATTTTTTCTAGAAATTATATACATGGCAAAACAATGTTTGCTGGATCAGCTAGTTTTAGTATAAAACATATTTTAATAGAATTAAAGATTTAATTAGTTCTATTGCTCTTTCTCTGACTTTAGCATGTAAATACTACAAATAAAATCAAAATGTATCGTAACTTACAAAACAGATGCTAAATTAAAGTGCGCTTTATACATAATGTTAAATGCCTAAGATCGATACATTTCGAATGTAATATCCAATAAATAACAAATGTTCAGAAAGCAACATAAAGCTATTGGACATATTTATACTCGAAGATATTCGAAGACAACAAATAACGAATCCAATTTTATTGATCTAAAACCCCAACAAATCTAACTAACGGAGAATTTCACGACAAAGCTTAGTATCTTGATGCAATCGGATTTGGTCGGGTTAACAAAGCCATTAATCGAAAGCAAATTATTTTAACTTACAGATAGATCGAAGGTATCTGAAAGCATGTCTGCGTAAACCTCTTTCTTTCCCATCCAGAAATATTCCGTAGAAATGTCCTTATAGCATCCTTCAGATAAACAGCAACGACAAACAGTTGGGCCGGGTCGCCAAACTTTACCCTCCATTTTATATACTAACACATAAATCACGTATCTAATATTATTACTATGCTATCTAGATAAACATTATTATAACATTTTAAGAAATACTATATAACATTGATAAGTCTGGAGTCCTTTTCACGATTAACAAATTACGAGAAACTACGCCGACATATTTCGTGGCGACTGGCGACGCCATAACAGTGTTGCCACTTACTAGTTATGAATTACGATCTTAAGACTATTATATACTTAAGATACTGCGCCTATATAAATCTCCATTCAATTGTCGGTGAAATAGTATAATAGCCCCTATAATAATACACTTGTATCTCAATTCACAATCTCGTCTTAAGCGCAGTCTAATATGTCAAATTTCATACAGAAAAAAAATCGTTTCACATCTTTGGAAAGTAAACTTAAGGTTTCTAGAGTCCGGGGTTAAGATTGCAATAGTCGATCCATCTTAATTTAAGAATTATATTTAGTTATTTCTATTGTGTTCTATGTTCAAAGTTAACAAATAGAACTACAAAAGAAAGATTTCGTCAATTTGAGACAAACATTATTTCGATAAAAGTTGATCACATATAAAAATGATGTTAGTACTTTTTTATACTGTTTAAAACTATCTTTGTTTCATGAACATAGTTCTTTCTTATAAAAATATTATGTAGTCCAGAGCTTCTACTGAAAAAATAACACATTTAGGCATATGTTACTAGAATAGTCTGTGGTAAATACGAGATTCTATGTTTTTGTTTGTTGAGTCTGTGGCGGCCTGTGCTTGTTTTATATTTTATTGAAATTTGAAAGTTCTAAATATTTTTAATTTTACTTTTATATGGACGCATTATGATTTTGTTTATAAATTATAAATATGTATAAAATATGCTCAATCAATATTTTAAAAATCCGGTGTTCTCAAATCTGTTAGGACTCATGGTTTAAAGTTTACGCTTCTGATATTTCCGAGTAACATACTTTCTATTTGCGTTATTTAGGTTTGAACATTATTCTTGATTCTTATTTTTAAGCCGACTTTTTATAATCTTTATTTGTTCATACTGTGAATCTTAATACAAATATTTTCCTTCAACGTTCCAGATTGGCCTTAGTTAATTCACAAAATGTCTGGTAAAGTAAAAGGCCCTATTATAGATCCAGCTTTCTGCCGCTGCTGTCGTTCTATTAAGCGTTGTCGTGTGTTGACCACGGAATACGATTGGAAAGGAGGCAAAGAGATTTATTCTGATATGTTTATGGATGTGTTTGGATTGCTGGTGAGTTATATTGTTATTAGTCCAGTTTGTACAATATGTTGTGCTCCACAGTTTCTGCTACCTTAATTTTCTTAAGCGCATAACCGGGCTTGATAAATACATGAATGATTTAGTGTGTTCAACCAGATCATTTGTTTAAGTTTAAATATTATTACATTTTATTCTCGTCTTTTGTTACTATACTCCATTGACATCACATACTGTTTAATATACTATTTTTGTCTTATTTTTTAAATGTTTCTTATGAATGTGTATGTTAATAAATGGTTTTCTTCTTCCTCTACCCTGTTTAGGAAGCACTAATAATGTTCTAAAAGTTCAGATTTTAATTCCTGCAATACTATTTAAACTATTCAAGTAAGGTCAAACACCATAAATTCATCAACATTGTAAAGTTAAGATTGGTGGACTCAGTTTCCGCACTTAGACTCATAATCTGTCCGTTGTGCGTAAATTGTAAGGTTTTGGTAACTAAAAAAATTTGCAACTGGCATGTAGATCAAGTTGCTGCAGTAATATGATGATTCAAGCAACTAAAATGATTCCAGTATTATATTTATGATGTTTCCAGTAATTTACAACTTCATTAGTATTTTTTTCTCCTTATGGGCATTTGAGAAACTTAAGAATGACTATCTTGAAAAGCCTTTAAGGGATTTATTTGACTCGGCAATAATTTTCTTGTTAACAAGGATCATCATGCTTGCTTAAATGTAATTGCTTGTCGCGGCGTCCATGCGTCGGGTTGTCTCTCTCCGGGCCGATGGCTGGCCATGCGTCATACTCGTGAACGCAACTTGTGGTGACTGGCCCTACTTGAATTCGTGTATGCGGTGATGTTAGTTATTTTGACTATGTGTTTGCGTGTTGTTCCCACGAGAATGTAAGTGCGTGCTCCTATTTCACCATGCTGACAGAGGACAAGTCTTTGTTTTTAATTTATGTTATTATTATTAATTACTTAAGATGTCATGAGGAACATGGTGTAATGGTTGCAGCTCCTTACAAACGTGTAAAAAAAATGGCGATTAAAAATAGTGGTGCAGAGTTTATTGCCAGTTCTTCTCTTCCATTCTACGCCCTTGATTTGAGAACTGGCACTTAATGTAAAGTTAGAAGCATTTCATATACATTTCTTTTTTTTTGACCATCATAACTGTACAATGTGTTACCTATATGATTAAATGATTTTTGAATTTGACCACTTTCCAGCTGTCACATCTCGATGGAGAAAACAAAGACAACTGTATATGTGCAACTTGTGTTGGTCGACTTCGTGAAGCAAGTGCTTTTAGAGAGCAGGTACTGATGTGTGAGCAGCTATTTTTAAATGCCCGACTGCAGAACAAAGGTATATTTTATGAGTTAAAAAATGGCTGCTTCCCCTAAGTCTTGTATATCTGATACATAATAAATTTTATAAATAGCCAAATAGGTGATCAACCTTCATTGCTTGCATATGTCGGTTATTAGGTCTAAGCATGCATTTACTCAATATTTTCACAGTACATTCAATTGTTACCTATTTTTTGAAGTTATACTTAATTTTATGACGCGCGCGCCGTGACACAAAATTAACAGAATGAAGTTGCCCACGGAAGATGCTACGGCATTGGACATAATTTAAAAACAACATTCGAATAATAATAGAATTTATGTTTCACTTAATGTAAGAGAATAATAATAAATATTTATTTATTTAATTTTTCAAATGTAAACTGAACTTTATTGACTATAATGACTTTTCCAGTCTTTGATTATTTAATTGTTATTAATTATTTGCATGCAATCAAAAACTATTTTTAATAATGCCGAAGTATAACTTCTTACGCGCGTACACGCACCCTTTTTGTTTAATCATAATAGTTATCTCTAGTTTCTACTCTCAGAAATCTTCTATAGAAGTTGATTTTCAGATAGTTTAACGGTGGAAATAAAAGGAGAAGCACCAAGCAGTGATGATGACAATGATGATTTGCCGTTGGCATTGTGCGGTAAGTTCAAATAAACCAAACTGAATAAGCCAACTTTAACTAACGTCAAGTCAAAATAATTACAAGATAAAGTCAGTGGTGTTACCTTTTTAGTTCTAGGCCTCAGATTTCTGTATCGGTTTCATGATCTAATCAGCAAGTAGGTGATTAGCCTCCTGTGCCTGACACACTCCGTTGACTTTTTGGGTCTAAGGCCGATTTCCTCACGATGTTTTTCCTCACCATTCGAGCGAATGTTAAATGCGCACATAGAAAGAAAGTCCATTGCACAGCTGGGGATCGAACCTACGACCTCAGGTATGAGAGTCACACGCTGAAGCCACTTGGACAATACTGCTGGCTAATTGGTACTCAGGCACTGATAGTGTCCAATTATTATCTATTTAAAAAAATTGTAAGTATTTAAAGGTGTGCGTAGACCTGGATCTTGAATTTCTTTTGTACCCTGCCCGTCTCCTTTATCATATTAAACATTTTATTACACAGCCAACTGTGACCCATATGCCTTGAAATGAAACCTTCCTCTTGAATCACACTCGGTGTAATAAATTCCGTGCAGTGCTTTTTTTTACTTTTATTTATAAAAGTTGGACATGAGAATGAATACCTACAACCTTACAGACTACCTCTTTTGTTAGATTAGTTTTTTCGTCTTGTTACTTCTGCTCCTGTTCTTGTTACTTCTGCTTCTCTCCTTGTTACTTCTGCTTCTCTCCTTGTTACTTCTGCTTCTCTCCTTGATACTTCTACTTCTTTCTTTGTTACTTCTACTTCTCTCCTTGTTACTTCTGCTTCTCTCCTCGTTAATTCTACTTCTCTCATCGTTACTTTTACTTCTATCATCATTACTTCTGCTTCTCTTCTTATTACTTCTGCTTCTGTTGTGTATATAAGTGTTTATTTTAGATATTTCTTTTGCAGTTGTTATCCCATCAAATACAGTTTTGACGTGTGGGAACCATCTTCTTTAAGGAGGTTAGAAGCAAAAATGAAAATGGACTGTTCTAATTCCAGATACGAGCAGCATTGTCAAGGAGGAGAAGAAGCCCGAAGTGTGTGTTGATACTGAGAAAACGCAAACAAAGAAGAATGGGAAAATAAAGAAAATTGCGAAACTGAAGAAAATTACGAAAACTAAATTAAAGAGATATGGAAAAATGAAAATCATCGCGAAAAAAGGTATTTTTTTTTTTTACCTCTTATTGTAAAGGACAGTTTTTTTTTGTTTTCAAGAATTTTATTTTCACTGTAACTGTTTGAATTCGTTAAAATAAGTATAGTGGTGCGGTGTATGTATTTGAAACAACCAACTTGATATGATTTTTTTAATTTTTTTTTAATAATATTCAATAGAAACTTTTAAAATTAATTTTAATTAATTAATGTATTTATTTATTTCGTAATCCTACAGCTAACATATATTATATATAATAACATACAGTTACACTGAAAATATAGCCAGATATGGAATACATAATAATTTAGTTCTGTTGTATGATGGTGTAAAAGTGAGGGTATGTACGTGAAGGTGTGTATGTGGGGTAATAGTTTTAAAAGTACGCGATCTAGATTATAAAGGGTGCAACCGGGATACATTGATAATTTTAATTTCAAATTGTAAAACTATCAACGTAACCCGGCTGCACCCTGTATAATCTAGATCGCGAAATTTGATTCAATAAATAACTGAAATAAATTCTATTCATCGGGTTTGATAGGGTAAAAGTTTAAATTTATTGTAATGCCGGCCATACACGCTACGGTCTACCGGAGAGGTAATCTGTGCAGGTATGCCTGCGCAGGTCAACCGAACAAAGGTAGCGTGTATGGGGACGTTCCGGTGTATCGGAGCGGTCTTCATTTCTCTTTGCGATGGCATTGAATGTGGACGATGACACGCTGGCGTTGCTAGGTCTTGCTTTAATTTTGAAGAAAAATGATACGAAAAACAAGCGAAGAAAGTGGTGTAAGCATTGGTTATTGAAAAGGAAAACATATAGTCATGTTAATTTATTAAATGTATTGAAATTTGAACCAGAAGATTTTAAAAACTATCTTCGAATGGACGAGAAAACATACATTAAATTACTTGAAATGGTTACTCCTATAATAAAAAAAGAAGACACAGTTAAATAACAAATCAAACTTAAAACAAAAGTAATAAATGTAGATACATTGCCGATTACTATCTTAACAACCTGCGCAGGCGACCGGAGTACACGCACACACGCACAGGTACACCGTACGGTGTCACTCAAAAGAATCGATTTTCGATCTTGCTCCGGTCGCCTGTGCAGGTTCAAAAACCTGCACAGGTCTATTCCCACACACATTCCGGTCTACCTGCGCAGGCATACCTGCACAGGTGGACCTCTCCGGTAGACCGTAGCGTGTATGGCCGGCATAACACATTTTTATCTAATACCCAAAAAAACTGTGTGTTGTGGTTAAACTCCTCCGAAACGGCTTGACCGATTCTCATGAAATTTTGTGTGCATATTGGGTATAACTGAGAATCGGACAACATCTATTTTTCATACCCCTAAATGTTAAGGGTAGGCCACCCTAATTTTTTTTTTTTTTTAAATTTTTAGTTTTTTTTTTAATGATACAGCATTAAAAAATACATACAACCCCTAATTTTCACCCCTCTACGATCAACCCCTATTTTTTATTTTAAATGATAAACATGGCAAAACGACGTTTGCCGGATCAGTTAGTATGTATATGTATGTGTTGTGGACTTTCTATGTGCGCATTTAACATTCGCTCATACGAAAGAAACCGGCTTGCCTTAGACCCAACACGACGGCGTGTGTCAGGCACAGCAGGCTGATCACCATTTTGCCTTTGACACATCATGAAACATACCGAAATCCGAGGCCCAAAGCTAAAAAGGTTGTAGTGCCACTGATGTTTTTGAAGTGAAACTTCTTTAGCCCCGAGGGTAAAATTTTTAAAAAACGTCACGAAGATGTGCAGCGTTTTTGTCGAAGAAAAGGGAGAGCGATTGAGACCGATTGAGAGAGAGTGGGAAAGGGCGAATTACCTTATAGAAATTATATTTTTAACATTAAAATTTCGTAAAGTAAATTTATGAAATATTAGTATTTTATGCAAGATAATTTATTAAATATTTTTTTATATGCATTAATTTTCGACACGGCTAAAATAGTGTATCATAGCTACTTCCACAGCGTTATGTCGTACGGTATTTTACTGTGGGATGCTGCTGCAGAGGTTCAATCCATATTTGTGCTGCAGAAGCGGGCTGTTCGGGGTATTTGTTGTGTTTCTCCGAGGGAGTCGGTACGGAATAAGTTTCAGGAATTAAATATTATGACACTATCTGGTCAATATATTCTTGAAGCCTTGTTGTATGTCCAAAAAAATATAAACGATTTTAAAACAAATGGTGACTTTCACCAGTATAATACGCGAAATAGAACTAATTTGAGTGTACGACCAACCAGGCTCCAAAAGATAAACCTTTCCTTATATGGAAATTGTATTCGTTTTTACAACAAACTCCCAAGCGAAATTAGAGTATTATCACTAAATAAATTCAAAGCCCTCGTTAAACGAAAATTAATCAACAAAGCTTTTTATAAATTTGACGAATACTTAAATGATCCTAATCCTTGGGATTGAATTGCTCCAGTTCAAACAATTTGTATGACAATACTTGGCGATTAAAAAGAGTGGCGGAAAGTTTCTTGCCAGTTCTTCTTACCCGCTCTACGCCCTTGACTTGCGAACTGGTAGTAAATGTAAATTTATGATTAATTTAACTTGACGATTCAAAAGTGTACTTGGTTACCCACTTGAATAAAGATATTTTGAGTTTGAGTTTGACACTTTGTTAATGACAATTAAATTCCTGACATATCTTTTTCTCTCTAAGTCTCGGAAATCTAAAGTTATAGATTTGTATAAATATGAACAAGACTTAAAAATTAGTTTGCCAAAGAAGTTTCACTTCTGACATGTGTACTTTGTACGCACGCACTTTTTAAAATAATTTTTCGGTTTTTGCTACATCATCAGTTAGTAAAGTCAATTCTAAATTTTCAGTATCAAAGAAGAAAGAAGCCGAACCTGATCATGACGAACAAGAAATGGCGTACGAAAACACAATAACTATAGTTAATAATTCCTACATATGTCCGTTTAGAAACCGAATTAGCATTTACTATTGCTATTACTGCAGGGATCAGTTCACGAACCCCGAGGAACTCCGGGAACACACACTATCACACAACCCAAAAGAACTCTTCAAGCTATCCATCGAAAATAAAAAAATTCCAAAAATCGACATCACCCGCGTCGATTGTCGATTGTGCGATCAAAAAATCGACAATCTAGACACATTTAAACAACACATAACCGACACACACAAATTAAAATTGTTTCCTGTCAAAAATGAATTTTTAAAGTTCCGTCTTACCTTGAATAATTTGACCTGTACTGAGTGTAATAGCGTCTTCCCATACTTCGATTCGTTAACCAAACACATGATCACACACTTCGGAACGTTCACTTGTGACATGTGTGGGGCGTGTTTCCTCGAAAAAGCGTCCCTCAGAACGCACATAAACAAACATTTTAAAGTGGAAATGAATTTTCCGTGCGAGATATGCGGGAAAAACTTAAAATCCAAATACAGCAAGCGTCTTCATATAGCGACGGTACACGAGAAAAAACCTACCGTCAATTGCTACAAGTGCGAGGCTTGCTTCCTGTCGTACGCGCTGCGTAATCGTCATTTGATCGAAGTCCACGGAGACAGTCGGACGTTCCCCTGTAAATTGTGCGATAAGGTGTACAATAGGCGGAAGACTTTAATGGAGCATCATAGAAGGAATCATTTGAAGGTGTTCAGACATCAGTGCGATATGTGTGATCAACGTTTTTATCTACCCTCACGGTTAAAAGAACACATGGCAACGCATACGGGTGATAAAAATTTTCGATGCGATTTCTGTGAGAAATGTTATCCGAGGTTGCAATCTTTGCAGCAACATATGAGGTCTCATACTTCTAATTAGGAGGGTAGTTTTAAATTTATATATAAAATTCAATATTGAGCCAGATTAAAAGGACGGTTACGCGAACGACAATTTATGTCCATGGGCATATTAGTTAAGATGATTTTTGTTTGTTCTATAAAAAACTGTTTCTCCAATACATTGAAATATAAACGCATTCAGGGCCTAATATCATGATTTTTTTAAATACCCTCAACTTTTTAAATATAATATAATTGCTTGTCTGAAATTGAGCTTTTTAGATGTATTGTGTATTCTAAAATTGTTGTTAATGTATGATTCGATTCTTAGATAAATGATAAATGTTTCGGATGTGACACTGAAAAAAGTGTTCGCCAAAAACCAGTAAGTTAAAAAAAACTCGAATTATGAGGGTAGTTTAAAATTAATGGAACTGAATTTTTACTAAACTTTAATTAGACCATCTTAGTGCTGTTCGATTCTCTGGGAGCCGTTTTGTGTTGGACACGGAAGCCTAATCACCTGCTTTCTTAACTTTCACTAAGGGATCGTAAAGAAGACAAAGTCATATGTCTATGATGCGTCAATATAAAATAAAACTGTCAAATTGTTGATCTCACTATGAAATTTTAGGTTATGTCCTGTTTTTTTACAAACGTCAATTGTCATGTCATTTTTATATTATATTTAATTTATTTGTATATTTAAATATCAACTATGTACAGTGTATCTTATAATTGTTATTAAGTAAACGAGTTAAGTATTTAAAACTGTGTTTTTATTCCAATACCACAACCTTGAGTACTGTCATATGTGTCAAACGTAATTCGTGACGTTTGACACATTTGACAGCTCTAGAAACAAAGTATGATTTATGGCAGTCCCGTACGAGTTGTAGATCGCGCCAAGACTCGTTCATATAGTATGGTGCGAGTGACAGTTGTTTAATTTTTCTTTTCCCTCTTGAATTGCCGCGATTGAATAATTATGACTTAAGGTGCGCTTACACGGGCAACTAAAATTGCTCAATTCCAGTCAATACTCGTCAATTATGACGTCACGACTACATCAAGCAATTTACGGCAACGGCAACAAGCATCAATACTGCGCAATACAATATTGAGCGATATGGCGCAACTTCATCAACTAGGCAATACTGTCATACACGAGCATTTCAGTTTTCGCTCGCTATGGACGATATTGTTCTTGCTGCGGCGGCTTGTACTGCTTTTTTTATTATCAATCAAAAACAAAAAAGAAAGAAAAGGAATAGGCGTATCTGGGTGCGATCGTTTTTGGCAAAGAGGACAAAATTTTCATTATGTACAGAATTAGATGATATATTGTTCAAAAACTTTACTAGAATGTCACGAACAGACTTTGAATTACTTTTGAATAAAGTTAGCCCATTAATTAAGAAACAGACGACCAACATGAGAGAACCAATTTCTGCATCAACAAAACTTGCTTTAACACTTCGATTTCTGGCAACTGGAGATTCATACAAAAGTTTAATGTATCTGTTTAGAATTTCTGATAGTTGTATTGCATTATTTGTACCTACTGTATGCAGAGCTATTGCAGAAGTTCTTCGAGAATATAAACTGGAAACAGTTCAATTTCACACTGTTAGTTAATTAGCACACTGTAATTATTACGAACATTTCTTCGGCTTTGCAAAATTCCAAATGAATCAATTAAAAAATACGACATAAAATAATCAAGCTGTTGGCTATGTTTGACTAGACGGTAAAAAAAAAAAGGAACACCGTTGTGTGAACCAAAACAGAATGAAGTTCTTAACTTTTATTATAATTTATTATTTTTAATTTATAACACAACAAACAGAGGCTGACTACGCGCTGGACTCTTGCCGCGCGCTATCCTACTTCCACCCGACCTCTCGCTCTCCCCGCAAGCAAGACGGCAAGCCGCAAAACAAACAAGTGCGAATGAGATATATACAAAAATTGCTAGGAATTTCCAAGTCTATTGGATATTCGTCAATTCGTATCTGCGACATTGAGCGATATGAAATATCTGGAGCAATTCGAAGCAATATCGCCGAAATAATTTATTGAAATTGCTCCAGATCGGTCCATTCGTGTTGCCGAGCAATTATTGCCCTCGTGTAAGCGCACCATTAGTATTTCAGCTGTACCACATTCGTAATATATTATATATATATTGAATATAATATATATTCAATAACTTTAGTAACTTAAATTAAACATAGCCAGAATGTTTTAGTATACATATAACATCAAATTGAAAGAAAAAATTAAGCAACTGTCACCCGCACCCTGCTACAGCGCACATAGTATCATTCAGACCCCTAGTGCTAAGTATGACTTCCGATTGTCAAAACGTATTGACATATGGGGGCCATATTTTAATTAGGTATCCTAGGATCTATAATATACTGCAGAATATTTGCTAGCTATGTAAATATACTGCGAATACGCAAACGAAGAAGAATGGGAAAATTACGAAAACTAAATTAAAGAGATATGGAAATTGATTTCATTGATAAAAAATGTATTTTTATGCATGAAGAAGTTTTAGGCCTTATACCCCTTTTTGTATGGGACAGGTTTCTTTTATTGAAGTTATACTTCTTTTGGCGCGTTCGGGAAAAATGATGAGAGTAAATTTTTACGATGCGCGCGGTCACCGTCACAAATAACCGACACCCTGAAGTTAGTTATAGTCAACTTTCTTTTATTTTATTTTTGAAGTGAAACTTCTGAGGCGCATGAGGGTTAAATTTTTACGGGACGTCACGAAGATGTGCAGCGTTTTTGTCGAAAAAAGGGAGGGAGAAATATTAGTATTTTATATTTTATGCAAAATAATTTATTGAAATCTCAAATGACGAATTGTAAATTAAAATGCCACGTGTTTTATTATCGAAGAAATAAATTTATAAAACTAAATTTATTATTTGTATTAATTTTCGACACTAATAAAATTCCTAACATATCTTCCTTTTTCCCTCCTTCTAAGTCTCGGAAATCTAAAGTTTTAGATTTGTACAAATATGAACAAGAGTTAAAAATTAGTTTGCCAAAGAAGTTTCACTTCTGACGTGTACTTAGTAAGCACGCACTTCTTTTGTTAAATATGTTGTTGGAAAGTAGGTTATATGTATAATAAAAACAAAACTTTAATTTTCAATTGTTTTTTATTATCAATCTTAAACAATAAAATAAACTGGTGTTGCTTATAATCTAGATATTATCTTTTAGAATGTTAATAAATAATATTATAAAAAAGAGAGCGATGTTTTTTCTGCGTATGCGCCTCTTAATCCTGGATTGTAAATTCGATTCAGGGATATGAGCAATGAATTTCTTTGTATGTGTAAAAGAATCATTTGTTCCTAGTAAAGGAACCGGCATGTCACAACACATCCTGATGCAATCTGACGTGGCATAGAGTAGGGATGATCGATGTTACAAAAACATCGATGTTCGATATTTATAGAAAACTGAATGATTTTTGCATTAATAATTGATTAAGAAATAAATTACAGTGAAATGGTTCGAAATTTATTAATAAACAAAACAAATTCTTACATATTGTAATATTACTGACATGAAAAGTAATTTTGATAAAGAATAAAGAAATATATTTCTTTGTTGATAAAGAGTAGTGAAGTGTGAGAGAGAAAGAGCGAGCGAGACTACGATGAACGAACGAAGGGAACGACCTAGGCGCAAAGAATGAATACGCATTCGAAATTTTAATAGACCTGATTTGTGGATGCGTTCATAGGAGACATAATTTGTTTCGTAAATTGCATTGGCCGTGAGTTAACATCGACGTTACGATATTTTTCATATAGCAACATCGATGTTAATCTTATACTTGACGCTGGCTAATGCACAAACCGTGCCAGAGCCATTTAAAAAAAAAACATCGACAACGAAAATTGTTTCAATCACCACAATTATAAGCATTTACCATTTAATATGTATTTCTTTATTGACGTTCATAAGTGTACATTGTTGCTTCCATTTTACCGAGTTTTCACTCATATTTGATGATCAATGTAAACCAAATAAATTAAATAAAACCGTACAAATAACATAAAAATATACATGTGTATGTTTAAAACATAACAAACAGTTTAATTATTTAAAAAACTGTAAGTTAAAATATGTTAAAATAATTAACTGTTGAAATCGAGCTTTCGTCAACTGTCATTTTCATACAAAGGTCTATCCACAGACACCGATCCGACCTCCCATGGATAGCTTGTATCGACAGATGGCTATTACAATCCGTCGATTGGTTATTGGTACACTTGTTACAATATTTGGATTAAGATTACTATCTCAGATGGTGGATTATGGATTTAGTTATTGGGTTCGGGCGTAAATCTGTCGCAAACATCTCAGTTCTATACTAAATGGCGGTAGTCCTGGAAAGGCTTTGGCTAGAGAACGTGCAGAAATCCTCGGAACAGTGAGGTCGCTCTGAAGCCTGTGAAGTGCTGGAGGCGTCGTTCTTCTGGAAGGAGCTAGGCCTAAAGTTAGTCCAGGACACCTGGCACAATGGCAGTGGCAAAGTAAACTAATAGAGCAGGGCTGAAAAAGGCCACGGGGCCTCCGACCCAAAGCCCATACCTTAGGAGATACCATACTCTGTGGAGAATGTGAAGTCACAATAACACATTTTTCTACAGCTGTGGAGACTTTCTGACCATTCACCTTTTATCGTCTGTCAGAAGTGACCACGCAGGACATATAAGAACGTGAAACGTCGCGTTAAATTTAAAATTATGTAACGAATAATTGGGGGCGGGGGTAAATTTATAATAAAACATTACGATTCGAAATCCGAAAAGTGTTTTGTCTAAAAGTTATGTCATAAAAGACTTTTAGTATGCTTTACACTAGATAAGGTAACCTTTAAAGGAATTTGCAACGGGCCCCTAGATGGGCATGAAAGTTTTACGCTACTGCACAACGGACAAGAAAGACGTCTAAGCGCGGAAACTGGGAGTCCACAGACCATGGAAAATGCGTTCACGT